CTCCCGTTTCATTCCAGAAGGATCACACATCCGGCAGTGAGTCAGGTGTGCCTCAGGCCCCAGCCCTGGGCTCTGACTCAGCCTGAGCTCCGGGAACCTCAGAAGAGCCTGGAAGATAAGGTTTATGGCTCCTACTGCACTTGTTTGGGTAAAGCTCTGCACACAGGCCACCCAGCTGCATTCCACTGGCGGGGCAGGGGGGATGGCTTACTCAGGCTACCCCAGGAATTCAGACTGTCTGACAGCTCTGCTTTCAGAAGCCCACTGAGCTTCTCAGTCTCTGGAGGTCATCTCTCTAGGTCCCCAGGCCTTGTCCTGTGGAGGCTTGTCCCACCCACCGTGTGTTTGGCTTCTGGGCAGGCCTGGCCCTGACAAGACTCTCCCTTCCTTTGCAGGTCACTCCTCTCAGTTCCAACAGAGTTTGGTTAGGGAGGCCTTTCATTATTCTAGCCCTTTGCTCCTTTTCGGTGCTTTGTAGAAGAAAGGACACAGGATGCCAGTGCACTGAGAAATGAAACTGAGGCAGACTATAGAGCTCTGCTGAGCCTGGACCTTTTTAGTTGAGGGGAGTTAGACAGGAAGCAGATAGCAGCGGTGTGTGTGGGGGATGTACCACAGAGAAAAAAATATATATAATTTATGTGTTTATTTGAAACAGAGTCTCACAGAATGGTCCTTTCTGTCCTGGAACTTGCTCTGCAGACCAGGATGTCCGTAAACTCTCAGAGATCCCCCACACACACATTGTGCTGGGACTAAAGCATGCTGTACAACTAACTATCTGACTGGAAAAACTTATTCTAAAAAATAATTTGTTTACTTTTATTTCATTTGCATCGATATTTTGCCTGCATGTATGTCTGTGTGAAGGTGTCAGATCTTAGCATTAGACAGTTGTGGATCCTGGGAATTGAACCTGGGTCATCTAGAGGAGCAGCCAGTGCTCGTAACTGTTGAGCCATCTCTCCAGCCCCTGAACAAAACCTTCTAATGTGAAATTTGTTTTGCACAAGAGAGCACATGTGCAATAGGCCCAGTCAAAGCTGATGCTTTCTCCATGGTGTCTGCTGTAGGCCTGAAAGGAGACGGAACTCTTTCAGCATAGCTCAGCAACTTAGAGACTCGCTGGGACTAGAACACAGGTCATTTCATTCCAAAGAGGAATTTTCTTGCTAGTTTACGTTGTTCTGTATATTAGGATAATTCTAAAAGCGAAAATTGTACTGAAGTTTGGTTAAAGTTTAAAAAAAAAAAGTTTTTTATTTTTTTGATGGGGTCTCACTATGTAGCTCTGGCTAGCCTGCACTCTCTATAGACCAGGCTGGCCTGTGCCTCCCTGTTGCTGGGACTAAAGGCATGTACTACCACTCCTGGCACTATATTTTAATTAACGTGTGTAGAAACACCAACATTATGGTGTCCTTGTGAAGGTCTGAGGACGAGGGACCAAACTCAGGTCGTCAGGCTTGGTGGCCATACTTTACCGGCTGAATCATCGTCCTGCCTGGAATTTTGTTTGGTTTGAGTCACAACCCCTAAAACAAGAAAATTTTAACCACAAATCCTAGTGTTCTTTGGAAGTGTGTGGTGGGGGTTTTTGAACAGGGCCCAGATCTGGCTTTCGCTAGCTCCTAGATTTAACCACCATGCTCAGATTCCTCAGCTCCAGAGTGTATGTTTTGCTTATTTCTCATTTTCTGTACAGAACCCTAGGCCATGGGGTGCTTGGACCCATGTCCAGGCCTGTAATGTCCTGTGGAAATGGGACTACATGGAGACTCAGGGCTGGAGGACTAGAGGGAGTTCATGCTGGAGGCTTCCTGGAGGAGGTTGTGGGCAAAGCCAAGCTAGAGGGATTGGCGGGGGTACAAGGAGGCTGGTGAGAGGGTAGAACTCCAGAGGTAGAAAGGTTTCCTGAGGAGCTGTCAGTCAAGAGGCGCAGGGTCAGGTCAGGGGGGAATATGGAATGACTGGATGTGGAGGACACTGGGGCCATGTGTCCACAGCTCTGGGAGCATGACTAGGAAACTGGGTGGGGGGACAGTTGGAGGCTTCTGACTGAGGAACACTGGCCTGGGGGTTGAGTCCCCTCCCTTCTCTTCTTGGGGCTTTCCCTACGGTTTCTGGGTTCCTCAAACTGCTATTCTGTCACTAGCAACTCTTAGTGTTCCCTGGATGTCACCTGGGACTGGGAGAGGCCAGAAGGAAGAGAGAGGGTGGGTTATGGGGACTGGATGTCGAAGGTCTGTCAGGAATGTGTTGCCATGGGAGCATGTCTAACAAGTCCTAGAGGCTAAACTGGCTCAGGCTGGCCCTAACACAGTCCAATCTCACTGTCTAAGTCAACAGATTTTTCTTTAAGACCTATGAATGGGTCACTGTGTGTGGATTTGGAGTTATCGCCACCCTTAGAGAATCTGAAAGATAGGTGGGTTAAAGGGTAGTAGGTAGCAGGTCAGGTCTTTCTTTAGTTAAACCCCTCTTGCATTCTTTCTCCCTCCCTTCCTCCTTTCTTCTCTCCATCCTCCCAGGTAGGGATGAAACCCATCTTCAGGCTAGGAAGCATTCCACCACTGGGCTTTATTCCTGGCCCTATCTGTCTTGTTTTATCATGGTAGAGAAGGCCAAGTCAGCTTTTGGATTTACTCGGTCAGCATGTTCTGGAGTTCAGCGAGGCGTTTTCTCATGTTGTAGGTATGCAGTTTGCAAGGTAGTCATGGTTTCTGTTGTATGTCACATTCCACAGCACTGGACAGAGGTCCCTCAAGTCTGCTGGAACCTTTAGTGGGCAGAAGAGTTTTGAGGCTCACGAGACGGTGGTTGTATGTGTAGATGGGCTCTATACCACTTTGGGTTTGAGAGTGTTTCTTTTGCTCTACTGACAAGTATTGCATTTTTTCCTATTGCTTTATTTTTCAAATTACATTTATTTCTATGTGTGTATATTTGTGTGAGAGAGGGCACATGCACCATGGGACTTGTGGAATTAGTTCTCCTTTTCTACCATGTAGACCCTTCTTGGCAGCAGGCATCTTTACCCACTGTATCCACTGAGCCATCCTGCCAACCCTACTATTATTTCTTTTCTTTTCAGTTCCAGGCTGTCCTAGAACTCGCTCTGTAGACCAGGCTGGCCTCGAACTCAGAGAGATCCTCTTGCTTCTGCCTGGGATTAAAGGTGTGAGCCACCACTGCCCAGTGATTACAGCTTCTTTTTTTTAAATTTCTTTATTTTATATACATTGGTGTTTTTGCTTGCATGTAGGTGTGAGGGTGTCGGTTCTGGAGTTACAGACAGTGATTAGCTGTCATGTGGGTGCTGAGAATTGAACTCAGGTCCTTTGGATGAGTAGCCAGTGCTCCTAACCACTGCGCCATCTCTTCAGACCTGACTATTGCTTCTTCTCATGGAGACAGTTGAACAGGTGTCTGAAGTGGGACCCCTGAAGAGAGCACATGTAGCCTTTGGGTGTGGCCCAGAATCAGACCGCACTGCTTTGGCAGGAGGAGTTTTGAACTTTACTGTTCCTATTTGCAAGTGGGAATGCTGCCTTCCTCACTGGCTGTTTTAGGGTTCTATATCATGTATGTAAGAAACACGACCCTGTGACACTCAGAAGAGAGCCATCATTGTCACTTTCTTGCCACCTTCACTATTGGCAGGGACAAGGGTCAGCAGGCAGGGCACTGTTTGCATGGCTCACTCCCTGGGAACTAGATTTGCAAGCGTGGATTTTGCATGGAGGCAGATTTTTGCCTATTATCTCTTTGTTACAGCCCTATAGAACCCTTCTTATCACCCCCTTTAGGTACTCTCAATCCTCACTGCAAAGGCTTTTCTTCAGTCACCTCTTGTTGCCCAGCAGGTGCTGCAGAGGAGATGCTGGACGTTTCCAGTTCAGCTGCTGCCAGTTGAGACGACTGCTGTGCCTGTTGTTCTCATTTGCTCTCTGAAGGACACACTCTGCTCATTTCGGGAGCACCGAAAGGAACCTGCTCAACTTCACACAAGAAGTTCTTCAGATGGCTCCTGTTCTGGGGTCTTGGCCCTAGCCACAGCAGAACTTTTGAGAAAAGCCAGGGACATTGCCTTGTCTCAGCTACGTGAGCTTTAGCTGTGTCCTAGACACCATCTTCTCGCTGCTGCACTTCCTGAGATCAGTTGTAGAAATTAAATTGGAGCTGGGTGACTGGGACATAGCTCTGCAGTAGAGCCCAGCATCCCCGACCCCAAAGTGCTGCTGTTTTCCAGTGTGGCTTGATCAGCAGGGGAGAAATAGGTCACCGGAATTGGCCTCTGTGAACTACTGAGTATACGCTAGCCTTTGACACACTATCCAGCTGCTCCACTCTTCCTGAGGGAGTTTTGTGCTTGCCCGGTGGCTTTTTACATTTCCAGATCTTTCCATCCATCTTACTTTTGGGTTTCTGTTTGGTTTTTATACATAACCCTGGCTGTTCGGAACCTCACTATGTAGACCAGGCTGGCCTCAGATTCATTTGCCTCTGCCTCCAGAGCGCTGAGATTAAAAATATGTGCCACCCTGAGTTCTGTTTTTGTTTTTATGGTGCTGGGGATTGAGCCTAGGACTTCACAATGAAGACAAGTACTTTACCACCAAGCTTTCCCTCCAGTCTTCACACCTTACTTCTCTAAATTGAGTGTGGTGGTTCCTGGGAGAGGAAGCTGAGGCTGGGGCATAGCTATGTGTTCAAGGCCAGCATGGACTATGTTATAGAGTCTGTCTTTTCTTCTAAATCCAGTTTGCTCAACGGTCCCCTTGCCCCCAAAGTTCTAGGGAACATGTCTCAATCCTTTATTTATCTAAAGTCAGTATTTTGTTGGCAAGGCACCAGAGGTTGGCTCACTGTGTAGCTTCCACGTCTTTATCTGTGTACATTTAGGTTGGTGAACATCTGCTGTTTTTGCCTGCTGCTCCCAGCATTCTCCCCCCCCCCCTTTTGGTGAATCATCTCTTTTCCCTCCTGCCATTAGTTTGGGTAGGCCTGACTCCCTCCCCCTTTCCCAGGAACTCTAGCTCAAATGACAGCATTTTATTATTCTCCTGACTGAAGTCTTGGTTCAGCGACAGGCCTGTGACCTGCCAGCCCAAGGAGAGCGGCCCATGGAACTTCAGCTGGAAGACTCTGGAAATGAACACTCCCTTGGTGGTATCCATCCTTATCACAGCCTGGAGACGGCCTGCTGAGAAGGAGACCAAAAGAGAAGGAAGCAGCCATTGAGTCCCTTGCCTAGAGTGCAAGTCTAATGCGCCCTGCCCAGTTGTGAGAGCAAATAAAGGACCGTATATGTTGGAGCTGTCATATGCTGCCAAGAGCCTAGAGCTATAGCTTGTGTTGTGTGTTGGACATATGCTTTATGTATTGCTGCACATGTGTGCACATGTGATAGGTATAGGAAGGCAATATTTATGCGTCTGAGATGATGAGTGGCGGGGGAAGAAAGGGTGGCACTCATGCTCGTATGTATCATGGGGATGCAAGGTGGCTGCCCTCCTTGGGATATGTGCACGGGCCACACGTATGAGAAAGGGCAGAACTTGTGTGTGTGTGCACGCGTGTGTGCATATGAGGGATGGAGGAGCTCTGAGGTAAATTGAGGTTGTGTGGCATGTGAGTTGCTTTTCTGGGAGAGAACCCGAGGTCCTTCCCAGCTTTGCGTTCATCTGTATACATACTCCCCAAAGCACTTGCTCTGCCAGGCCAGCAGGATGGCTCAGTCACAAAAGCCATTGCTGTACAAGCATGGTGACCTCAGTTTGGTCTCCAGAACCCGCCTTCAGCAGCTTACTCACATGCTGTGCAACCTCAGCTTGACCACACACACACACACACACACACACACACACACACACACGCACCCCTTACACAAATACTATTAATAATTAAAAACAACAGCCTGTCAATTAGCATCAGTTCCAACCGACTAGAACTCCTCATTGCTTTCCAATGACCAAAGCCAAACTCCTTAGATATCCAAATGCTACACAGACTCATGAAACTTGGGTTGATGTTGGTGAAGCTGTAAGTATCAGACACACCCATGAGTATCACAGGAGGAAGCTGACAGGTAGGACCTATGGGGCACAGGAAGAGTCTCCCAGATCAGAGGCAAATAGATGGACTGGTGGGCAGGGCTGGCCTTGGGGCACTCCCTTTCCAGGAGACTCCCTTGGCCTTTCCTCTCCAAGACTGCAGTTGCTTTTATGGCTGGTGATTTAGTAAGGCTCTGTCATATATGAGTATTTGTGGCCTCCAGCTCTGATCTGGGCCCCTGATCCCTAGCCTTGTCTCCAAGGCAGCCCTGGCTGTGCCTGTTTCTTTGCTCTCTAATGCTTCTTGTTCCTGCTTCTGTGCCTCACTACACAAACCAGAGCGATCTCCCTAAGCCAGTCCCTGGCCAGGGTGTCTGACGGTATGGCTGTGCAGAGTGGGCTCTGACCACATTGGCCATTAAATGTGTATCCCAAAGCGCCTTGTCTTCTTACCCTCTGGTCCCTATTCGCTCCCTTCTCCCTACACCTAGTATCAAAACCCTTCTGTTCTCCATCCTGCCACACAGAAATGACCATTTTGTGTATGACACAACTGTGCAGAAGGTCACAGTGGACTGAGACACCTCCCAAAGGCCACCCTGTCACTGTCTTCTCCTTTATGTCTGCTTTGGATGTGTCACTGACCCTATGCCCCTGGAAAGCAGGAAAGGACCCTTCTCTTTACCTGGGGACAGGCCATTGGTTCTGAGCTTACCATATAGTTCAGGCTGACCCTAGAACTTGCTATGTTGCTGAAGGTGACCTTGAAGTTCTGATACTCTTGCATCTACCACCAGGAGGTAAGATTACAGGTTCACTGCCATGCTTACTGTGTGTGGTACCGGGAGTGGGGCTTCCGTACATGCTGGCCAGGCACTGGAGTGGGGCTTCCGTACACGCTGGCCAGGCTTTGGAGTGGGGCTTCCGTACGTGCTGGCCAGGCACTGGAGTGGGTGGGGCTTCCATACACGCTGGCCAGGCTCTGGAGTGGGGCTTCCGAACACGCTGGCCAGGCACTTTTCCAACTGAACAACTCTGGCCCCAACTGTCTCTTTCTTGAATAGCCCAGAACATCCAGAGCCAGAGGCATTTGATCTGATTTGTTAGCTTCCTTGTCCTGCCCTGGCAAGTTATGGGGTATCAGGGCATTCAGAGATCCCCATGAATCACAGGCATTTAGGCGGGTGATTGGAAGATGTTTTTCCAACTACAAAAGACTTCCCCTTCTAAAGGATGGGCCTAGGATATTCCAAGGGATGGGAAAGAAAGGAGGAGAAGGTCAAATGGAAACTTGGAAGTTTTCATTGTAGATCAGGTGGGCTTCAAACGTCAGTGGTGTGAAGAAGAACACTTGGCCACCTCACCTAGCACGGAGTTCTCCAGTTTTCTTCTGCCCAATGGCACTGTTCTTCCCATCAACTATAGCTGTTCACACTCTCTCTTAGACTCCGTCTTTCTGGGCGCCCATCTCGCACTGTTAAACTCTCGTACAACTTGCCTTGTTCTTCATCGCCCTTTGCAGAGCCCGTCACAGTCCTAAGCAGGGAGACAGAGCCACACAGCTGTATGACTTTGGCCAGGTTCCATCCATCCATCCATCCATCCATCCATCCATCCATCCTTGTGTGTGTGCATGCACATGCCATGGTGTGCCTGTGAAGGACAGAGGACAACTTGTGAGAGTCAGTTCTGTCCTTCTACCTATTCTATAGCATTCTTATGAATGGTTTTCGAGACGATGTTTTCCTCTGTGTTGCTCTGGCTGTTCTCGAACTTGCTCTGTAGACCAGGCTGGCCTCGAACTCAGAGATCCGCTTGCCTCTGCCTCCTGAGTTTTGGGATTAAAGGCGTGCGCCACCACTGGTCAGCTACCACAAGGCATCTCCTGGTGCCATATAAGTGTCATGTGGCTGTACTAGAATGAAAACTTCCTGGGCTTGTTTGCTCTCTTTTGGGTAGTCAGTCCATTTCCATCCTGGGGTTTTATCATCAGAGCCATGACCTACCATGAAAAAAAATATCTATCAGCTAAGCCTAGTGGCCTTAGTCTGTAATCCCTTCCATCTGTCTAGAAGATTGAGGCAGGAGGTTACAAGAGTAACCTGGATGACAGACTGAGTTCAGGCCAACAAGGGCAACTTAGTGAGACTGTCTCAAAATGCAGACTGAAGAGATGCCGGGGCCCTAGCTCCATGATGGAACACTTGCCCGCCATACACATCTCTGTTAGGCATGGCAATGAGCAACTTCACCTTGAGGCTCACAGCACACACGGAGCCAGCAATCTTCATTACTAATTCTGTGGCTTGCAGATGGCTGTCCACGCCATCTGTGGCTTCCTATTTAAATTGTTCAGCTGCCTCAGTGAACCCCCGGCTGTTTATATACTGCCACCTATCAATATTTAAAATCATTCCATTGATCAAAGTGATTTGACTGCCTTTAGGACACCACCCTCGTGCAGGGACAGCTTTTGCTTTTCCTCCTGTTTCTAGCCCCAGATCTGGTCTCCAAACTTAACTCTTCCTTATATGGAACTCACTTATGCTTCTGAGTGCCCCCTCTCTTCTTCCCCCATCTGAGACAGGGTCCTTGTATCTCAGGTTGGCCTTAAACTCAAAATGTAGTTGAGGCCGGGCAGTGGTGGCGCACGCCTTTAATTCCAGCACTCGGGAGGCGGAGGCAGGCGGATCTCTGTGAGTTCGAGACCAGCCTGGTCTACAAGAGCTAGTTCCAGGACAGGCTCCAAAACCACAGAGAAACCCTGTCTCGAAAAAAAAAACGTAGCTGAGGATAACCCTGAACTTCTGTTCCTCCTGCCTTCACCTCCCAAGTGCTGGAATTATAGGCGTGGACGCCACACCCCGTTTATGTGGACTGGCACCAAACCCAGGGTTTGTGGTGTGCAAGGCAAGCAACTGAGCCACCTTCTTAGCCACAAATCTTTTCCTCTTTTTTTTCAAAAATTGATTTTTAAAATTACATTTATTTGTGTGTGGGTGTGCAGAGACTGGAGGGAGCTGCATCTTAACAGAGGGAGAATGTGTCCTCCTTTCCCCCATAGCTCTGGGGACAAAAGAGCAGAGCGGGACAGAGCTGTCTGTGCAGGGGACACTCACCTCATCACAAGCGTGTGCGTCACTTTGCTGTGACCACAGTGGCCAGAGACTGCCTTACAAGGAGCTGTACCTGTGGCTGCCCCAGGCTGGTTCTTTCTCCCCTGACGATTTGGCCCTAGTCCCTGGGGCCTTTCCCTTCTACCCCTGCCCTGAAGAAGTTCTGGTCTCTCTTGATGAGCAGGGGTCATGCTGGGAGGGGTTGGTTGGGGTCTCTGGGCACTAACAGGAAGTTGACAAGCAATATGCAACTTTTTCTGGCCCAGGAATGAGGGGCACCTCCTTTGTGAGCTTTGGGTTGATGCTCTAGTCCACACAGCTTGGGGACTTTGCCATTATGTCCCTTTGTCCTCACCTTAAGAGACACTCCTAGGACCAAGGAGTCAGGTGTGGAGGAAGCTGAGATTTCAGGAAGGGTGCTGGGTGGCTAGCTTTTATGTCCAAATCAATTCTTTAGGAGCATTTCCCCTTCTGGTCCCTCCAAAAGTGTGGGGGAAGGGACGAAAGTGAGAGCTAGCTGGCTGTCCCTCCTCAGGGCTGCCATACCTGTCTGACCAGCCCTCCTTTTCTCCTTCCGTTTTCTCTCACTGCTTTGGCACCAGCCCCAGTTCCCTCCCTTCAGTTTGCTGGAAAAAAGTCTCCAGTCTTGCTGGGTGTGGGCCTGTATTGAGAGCGGGTGGTGAACACACGCCCAAATCGCTTTCCACCTTCAAATGGAGTGCTGTTTCAGGGGCTGTGAGAGGTGACCTGGTGTAATAGGCTCGAACTGGATTTCCCTCTTCCTAGCATTCTGGAAAGCTAAGATGGGGGACTGAGGGCTGGGCTAGAGGCAGAAGGCATGCAAGGAAGCCGCATGGTCATTGCATGCCCTTTGGAATTTCTAGAAAGGCCTTTTTGGAAGTGACTTCAGGTGTGTGTGTGTGTGTGTGTGTGTGTGTGTGTGTGTGTGTGTGGTGTAGTGTACTGTGAAAGGAACTTGTCTGTGTGTGTCTAGGAGTGGATTTCTGGGTCTCTGTCCCTTTTTGTAGGGGCCTATATGTGCCTGTATATGGTGGACTTCTGGGATCTTGGGTGTTTTCCTGGAGAAGGGGCGTGATCCATAGACTGCTCTCCTAGAGAGGCTGTTTGCCCCCTTTCACTGTTTTGTGTTTTAAGGGTTCTGCCATCTACCCTGTCCCCTAGGATATTTGGATGTCTGTCATCTTCTGGTTTCCCGAGTTAAGGCCCACCCAATCCCCACACACACCCTGCAGTACCTTCCAGAGAGCCCAATCCATCTAGTAATTTAATTGCAGGTGGAATCTTTGCCTTGGGGACTCAAACCTCTTGTCTTCCACCCACAACCTGCCACAGCCTGCCCCACCCAGGCCTGCAGGACAGCCTCCCACAGGTGCACGCTGTGCCCCAACTTGCTCTCCTGACTCACCCTGATAATGAGTTCAGAGAGACAGGTGCCGCAGAGGATACTTCCCTCATCATGCCACACCATTTGGGGGCTGGGGAAGAGGCCGAGGGTCTAGGTGGCTGGAGAATGACTCACCAGCAGGGCCATCCGGGTCCACTTTCCACCTCCTCACTTCCGGTGACTCACTGCCCTGGGAGCCCCGGGAAGGTGTCCCCAAAGGAGCAACAACAAAGACCCCCATACCTCTCCTCTGTTCTCGGGTTCCCTTTTCTGCCTTGGCCTCTGTTCTTCATTCTTTGTTATTTCCTGAGGCCTGCAGTGCTCTGCCTGTCCCAGGGAATTCTGGGGTCTGTAGGAAAGGACAGTACTGGGCTGTGAGCACCCTTTGGCAGTCTGTGGTTTGCAGAATGTGGTGTAGGAAGGCGGGCGGGGTGGTGGTGCTGTAGCCTGGACAGACCAGGCAAATAGGATCCTGGGAATGGAAGGGTCCTGCTGGCCAGACTGGTTAGCCCATCTAACCGGGTGTTTCTTAGACCAGCCAGATGTGGTAGGGTATTCCCACAAACCCAGAACTTCCGTGCCAGGGTGGTAAAAGTAGGTGCCAGCTTTGGTAATCTAGTGAGTTCAAGCAGCCTAGTTAAACTGATACTCTGTTTTCTTTATTTTTTAAAGACCCCAAATGCCAGGGAACCCTTTTCACCCAGATTTCCCAGAGTAGTTCTCACAGAAGGGCAGGAGACAGGACGCCCAGATTCCAGGGCTGGGGGACTCCTGGCTTACTTCCTGACCTCACAGGGGCTCAACTGCTCTCTCCTGGACTTTAGGGTGGGGTTGGGGAGAGATCCCGGGTGGGAACAGCTCTCTGCTGCCCTCACCTGAGTTCTGCCTGGAGGTAGCAGGCGTTGGTTTAGGCCCTGCCCTCTCAGTGTCTAGCCACTCAGGTAAGAGGTCTTTTTCCCTCCCCTGGGGCTGGGCCTTCTTTTATAAAGGGCCTTTGCTGGGCGCTGTCCCACGGCCTAGCAGCTGCTCTCCGCTTGCTCTTGAACCTCTGTCTTCGGCTTACCGCCTTTACTCCAGACTTCACCATGTCCATCAGGGTGACCCAGAAGTCCTACAAGGTGTCCACCTCCGGCCCCCGGGCCTTCAGCAGCCGTTCGTACACGAGTGGACCCGGTGCGCGCATCAGCTCTTCCAGCTTTTCCCGGGTGGGCAGCGGCAGCAGCTTCCGGGGCGGCCTGGGCACCAGCATGGGTCTGGGTGGCTTCAGCGGGGCTGGTGTAGGAGGAGGCATCACAGCAGTCACGGTGAACCAGAGCCTGCTGAGCCCCTTGAAGCTGGAGGTGGACCCCAACATCCAGGCCGTGCGCACCCAGGAGAAGGAGCAGATTAAATCTCTTAACAACAAGTTCGCCTCCTTCATTGACAAGGTGAGACCTTCTCTGCTCGATTAACTGTTCTACGTCCTTTCTTTTTCCGCCACAGAGGATGGGTACATCTCTAGCCCTCCCGTGAACTCCTGTTGTGCTCCACCCATACTGGCCACACTCCCTTCTAGCTTCTCTCAATACGCTTTGGTTTGGGACGAGAGAGTCTGAAGTGCTCCTACTAAATCCTGGGGCGTCTTCCTCTTGCACTCCCTCACCGGAATCCCGCGCTCTGACCTGCCTGTTCACTGGCGGGCCTGGCGCCTTCAGTGTCGCTCAGCTTTCTGGTGTCAGGGAAACCTGCCCCCTCGCACTGCCCCAAGATTTCCTATTGGTGCCCTGGAGCATTTTTCTTTCTTCCTGATAAATAATGAAGGGTTGGGTAGGATTCTAGAAGGTCGCAGGTGTCTTGATTGAACCCGGCAAACTTAGATGGAGGTTTTTGGTGCCCAGAAGCAAAAACTGCTCAGGCTGAGTCACTGCTTGGCCCCTGCCTTGCTCGCCCGGTGTGGGCGGGGCCGCTGCGGAGCCAGGGCGGAGGTCGGTGTCTTGGGTTTGCCCTTCCACCAGGAGGAGCTCCGGCGTCGTGTGTGTGTGTGTGGGGGGGGGGGGGGGGGGGGCGGGAGGGGAAGTCGCGGAACTCCGCCTCGGGAAAGACGGTGCGGGATCCAAAGTCTGCGGGGCGTTGGACACTCCACCCCGGTTTCATGACCTGTTAAAACCGGAGTTTATGGCCTCAGATAGCATCGGCCTACCAACGCCCATCTGCCTGCTTAGCCCTTGTACCCCCTTTATGCTTCCTACCCTGGCTCCGCCCCAATTGCCTGGTTCTTTCAAGCCCAGAGGCAGGCCAGATTTTGCAGTTCTGTAGCTAGGTGGCCATCGTTTCCCTGGACGATTGGCCCTTTCTGCTGACTGGCTCCTAAGTGGCTGTGTGGGAACGGGAGGAGGGAAAACACCATGCAAAGGAGCCCATGGAGTAGGCGGCCTCAGGAACACCTGCCCCCCCCTCCCCCTTTAACCAGGGCTTGCTAGTTGCTGTCCATGGGCCCCTAGCTTCTTGTTACCCCCTGAAGGAGAGCAGTTGGTGCAGGTGTGGAGTGAGACTTCTGCTTACGGGGACCCACAGTTTCCGCGGATAGGCCATGTTGTCAAATTTGACTTCCTCATTTGTCAAATGGATGGGTCCTAAATCAGTTTCTGCCTGCTCAGCTCTCAGGGGAGTTTCGCAGCGCCTGGCCCGAATTCAGCATTCCATTAGGATGAAATGCTAGAATTACTAGGGCTATTGGTTTAATTTTTAGTCATTATGGGAAGAAAGGCTCTATAGCATGGGTTGTGGGAAGGAAATCTGACTGTACACTCCGAATGTACTTCTCTTTCTGGTTCCCCCAGATTAGAGCTATAGCGTTCTCTCCTTTGGAGCGTTCTATTATCTGCACGAAAAAGTTTCTCCTGTACCATGTCTTGGACTGCATGTTCTAAGATGTGAATTCTGTGTTTGTGGTAGGAGGGGAGGGTTGTAGATACTGGGCAAGAGCGTGAGGAGACTCCAGAGTCTGTGAATCTCAAAGTGGCGAGTGGGAAGGAGAGAGACCTGTCTTCTCTTGCTTCTTCCTGAGCTAAAAGTGGGCTATGTGTGGAGAAGGGAATCCCCAGAGGACGTGTCTGTGCTTCTGGAGGCTTTTCAAGGGTGGGGAGACCCAGACCAAGTTATACAGCTCGCATTAGAAGCAGTATTGACATAGAAGCCTTAGCAAGCATTCTGGACCTTAGGGAGAAAGTCCCCTAAAATTTCCAGGGCTTTCTGCAGAGTCCCCCCAGTGATGGTTGAGAGTGTTGGGCATGACTGATCTGCACCGTTCTCAATCTTACATAAAAGGTAATCAGAGCCTTTAGAAAATGGGGCTGTTTTTATTGATCTGTGGTGTGTAGTCCATGTAAATAAGATGTGTGCTGCGGGCACCCGCTAGCCTTCCCCACTGCCAAGTGCTGCAGGGATGCGGCTCCTGACGCCACCGTCTCACTGTGCTATCCCCCCACTCAGAGGTGACCTGAGCTCAGGGAACAAACAGCTTGTGTCCCTCTGGACCTCGACCCTAACCTGACGTGGACCTTTTTGCTGTGCCCTCCCTGTGCAGGTACGCTTCTTGGAGCAGCAGAACAAGATGCTGGAGACCAAGTGGAGCCTGCTGCAGCAGCAGAAGACATCGAGGAGCAACATGGACAGCATGTTTGAGAGCTATATTAACAACCTGCGGCGGCAGCTGGAAGCCCTGGGCCAGGAGAAGCTGAAGCTGGAGGCGGAGCTTGGCAACATGCAGGGCCTGGTGGAGGACTTCAAGAACAAGTGAGCCCCTCCCCGAATGAAGTCATATTACCTTGTCCCACATTTTGGGACAGAGGCCTGTGCTCCCACTGCCCTCTGTTTATGGGCAGTTTGGTTCTGTGGCCTTGTGTTTAGTTTGTTTGCAGCAATATATTTTATGCTCGCCATTCAAGATGATAATAGCGTTAGCCTGCTTTCAGTCTCAGCACTGCCTAGATTCGGGAAACAAATTTCCTGTTTAAATAGAGTACCTAAGCTGAATATGCTGACATACATTTGTAATATCCTACCCAGGAGACAGGCAAGAGGATTATGTAAACACAGTCTGATCTTCATAGTGAGTTCTAGGACAGCCAGAGCTACATAGTAAGATTTTTTTTTGCACTTAAATGAGAGAGGCAGCTAGCAGTCCTCACATTTACACTAGCAGCCATGAGCTCTGCAAGCTCCAGAGAGTGCCCCATGCTAACTCTCTCAACAGTCCAAATCTAGTGTGTATTTGGAGCGCGCATTCCTGCTTTTGGCCTCTTCACTGGCTGAGAATAAGGTTGGGTGGGGAGAGGAACACGGTAGCGAGGGCAGAAAGACCAACCTCTCATGCCTTGTATCTCTGAACTAAACTTTCTAGATATTCATTTCCCCCATCAGAAAACAAGGTGGGGGGGGGGGCTGGAGAGATGGCTCAGTGGTTAAGAGCGTTGCCTGCTCTTCCAAACGTCCTGAGTTCAATTCCCGGCAACCACATGGTGGCTCACAACCATCTGTAATGAGGTCTGGTGCCCTCTTCTGGCCTGCAGACATACACACAGACAGAATATTGTATACATAATAAATAAATATATAAAAAAAGAAAGAAAACAAGGTGGGTAGGAGTGAAGGTCTCTGCATGCTTGTGTTTAGCTATGCATGCATGTATGCTGCATTGGGCTCCATCCCTGGCAGCAGCAGACCTGGGCAGCCTTCACCTTCATCCACTGACTCCAAGTCTTTTCTTACTAGGTATGAGGATGAGATCAACAAGCGTACAGAGATGGAGAACGAATTTGTCCTCATCAAGAAGGTGAGGGACTGGGGACTACACAGATGGCATAGTGGTTAAGAGCGCTTGCCTCTCTTCAGAGGACCCGAGTTCAGTTCCTAACACCCACATCAAATGGCTCACAACTGCTTGTAACTGCAGCTCCAGGGGATCTGATGCCTCAGGCCTCTGAGGGCACCTGCATTCACGTGTACATCATATGCAAGCATACACACTTGCACATAATTAAAAATATTAAAAATAAGTTAAAAAAAAAGAAGAAAGAAGACATAGGAGGCTGAGCTTTGAGACTCAGACTAGGAGTTTTCTGATATCCTCATTGCTTTCTAAGGAATAAGACAAATTCTTTTGCCATCTGATGCCTTCCAGACAACACACTGGAAAGGTAGACAAGACAGAGTGTTTCCTGTAGTTAGATAGTGTTCCAAGTATCAAACTGGACTAAGTTAGTGGTCTAACCTTAGCTTTCTGGAGGGAAGCAGAGATAATTAAAGTTCATGATTGGGATCCAAGGGAGTAGACTGTGGCTGGACTGGACGGTCAGCCTCCAGTCTCAGCCATGGGCAGATGTTGGGGAGCCCCTGGGTACTGAACTCAGGTTTCTCACCTCACCCTCAGGATGTGGATGAAGCATATATGAACAAGGTGGAACTGGAGTCCCGCCTGGAAGGGCTGACTGATGAGATCAACTTCCTTCGTCAGATCCATGAAGAGGTACTTTCTCGGGGGCTGGAGTGGGCAGGTCCCCCAGCCTGTCAGTATCCTTCTCGGGTACCCAGGCAGTCTATCCCTGTCTTCCAGCATGCCACTCAACAAGGGCCCCATAGCCGCAGCCACCAGCTAACACTGTTAGAGAGGCTCCAAGCCCTACTTGAAATGGGGAAACGGGCTCTGAGAAGGGAAATAACCCATTATTCTGGGTCCTCAGTGGCACAGCCCAGCAGACTTGTGGTGCCCTCGAAGCTCTTATCCCTGGTCTTTATGCTGTCTTCAAGGCCTCTCGGCCTTGAGTGGGGCTGAGAGTGGGGACTGGGTCTTCCTCTTGGTTATTTACCTAACTTTAGGTTTCCCTTGCTGGTTCCCTCCATGGTTCAGAGTTTTGGTCGTCTCCCTTCCACTGTTAACTAAGCTCTGGCTGTCACTTGCTCCTTTGTCATGTCGCAAAGGACCCTGTGTACAGGGACACAGCCTTACCACCACGTCCCTGCCCTACAGGAGATCCGTGAGCTGCAGTCTCAGATCTCAGACACGTCTGTGGTGCTGTCCATGGACAACAGCCGCTCCCTGGACATGGATGGCATCATCGCTGAAGTCCGTGCCCAGTATGAGGACATCGCCAACCGCAGCCGGGCTGAGGCTGAAAGCATGTACCAAGTTAAGGTAAAGAACAAGTTTACAAGCCTGGGTCTTCCTTCCTGACCAATTGTGTGCCCTGGATCATGACGGGGGAACAGGGTTCCAAATTCCACTATGCCTGCTGGGCCTGGCTTTGCAGAATGGAAGCCTGGAGTTCTGGAAAGGGACCTTTGTTGGTGTGTGTGTGTGTGACTGTGTGTGTGTCTGTGTGTGCACGTGTGCATGTGTGCATGAGTGCGCACGCATGACGTACTTATGCATACTTCTTCACATATGTAGAAGGTTGGTGGGTGAAATGACCTCCCTTCTTGCCCCTGCAGTATGAGGAATTGCAGACCCTGGCTGGGAAGCACGGGGATGACTTGCGCCGCACAAAGACTGAGATCTCTGAGATGAACCGCAACATCAGCCGCCTGCAGGCAGAGATTGACGGCCTCAAAGGCCAGGTACTGCTGGGCTTGGGTGGGAGGTCAGGAAGGGAACTGGGGTTGAGAGTGGGAGGGGAAGCTTCTAATGAGCTGTCTTAGCTGCTGTGGGGTTCTCCATGGGTAGTGTCTCGGGATGACTGACTAGAATCCAGGTCCCATCCCCCCAGGCCTTCTCTACTTAGTCTGCCACATGTGGGGCAAGGTTGTGTGTTGCTGCTTTATGAACATTCTAGAAGCTTGGATCCGATCTAGATAAAGCAAAGCTTCGTCTCCACAGGTGGAAGTGAGGGGGAAGTGGCTGGAAGCGGCTCCCGTTGCTTCTCAGGCTTGCTCAGTGTGACCTGTAGAATTTCCTTTTAGCTGGATGGAGTTGGTCTAAGTCTGGGAGGGGAGACTTTCAAAGAAGCTCAAGGTGGGGCCTGGGCATGCAGCTCAGTTGCTTGAGTACTTGCTTAGCAAGCCCAAAGCCCTGTGTTCAGTACCGCATACAACCAGGCCTGGTGGTGCACACCTGTAACACCAATAGTTGGGGTTAAACAGGAGGACTGCTGTAAGTTCAAGGCCAGCTCGGATTATAGAGAGACTTCCAGTCCAGCCTGGGCTTCAAAACAAATGACAATAAAAAGTAACTCAATGTGGATGGATTTGAAGAGGAGATGCACCAGGTACCATCTGCTCATGTGTCTCCGTCCCACAGAAAGCTACCCTGGAGGCTGCCATTGCCGATGCCGAGCAGCGAGGGGAGATGGCCATTAAGGATGCCAACGCCAAGCTGGCCCAGTTGGAGGCCGCCCTGCAGCAGGCCAAGCAGGACATGGCGCGGCAGCTGCGCGAGTACCAGGAGCTCATGAATGTCAAGCTGGCCCTGGACATCGAGATCGCCACCTACAGGAAGCTGCTGGAGGGCGAGGAGAGCAGGTGGGTCTGGAGGTCTCTCTTGGGACCTGGAATGGGGAGGGTGTCTGGAGCCTTCCTGGGATTTGGATTCTGCTGTGAGAGGACAAGAGTTGGTCCTGACACCCGTGCATCTGGTTACAGGCTAGAGTCTGGGATGCAGAACTTGAGCATCCATACAAAGACCAGCAGTGGCTATGCAGGTGAGTGTCCTCGGGGATAAAAGGCAGAGGACCAAGGAGGTCAGGGCTCTGGGAGAGGCTGTGCTCAGCAGTTGACAGGGACAAAGGGAATGGTGACAGACTAAGAACCTAAAGAGCACACTCATAATAGAAAGCCACACATAGATGCAAGCTGTGCACCAGGCCCGTGTGAAGTTCCCTACATGAGTTATTGTGGGCTTTTATGCCTTCACATTTCCCTCCAAGCTGCCGAGAGAAGGGCTCAGGTGAGTGCTTGCCAGGCACATGTAGCTGGAGGGAAGCTTTTCCTTTTTGGGGCTGCTTCTCCAGACAGCTGAGTTGTGCCCCACATAGCCATCAGTCAGGTCTGGGCCAGCCTCTCATCTGTGGGTAGCAGAGAGCGATTAGGGAGAGAGGGCACTAACCTTGTGCTCATTTGGCTGCCTCTCTCCCTTGTCCTGGACCAGGAGGGCTGAACTCAGCCTATGGGGGACTCACCAGCCCTGGCTTCAACTATGGCGTGAGCTCCTTCCAGCCCGGCTTCGGCTCTGTCGGGGGCTCCAGCTCTTATAGTCGCACCAAGGCTGTGGTTGTGAAGAAGATTGAAACCCGCGATGGGAAGCTGGTGTCTGAGTCCTCTGATATCCTGCCCAAGTGAACGGCCCCTGGAGACGTTGCCAGCCTGGGCTCCTAAAGCTGCCCGTGGAGGAGACATCTGTATGTCAGAGTACAGGAAAGGAGAGACCCACCAGAGGATCAGAGGCGTACCTCTCTCGCCACCCCCCGACTCCCCTCAAAACCCAGTTCAATTGTATTTTCCAAAATAAAGAAGCCTCAGCTGGCTCCATCAACTGGCTTTGCTATGTGTCTGTTCATGTGGGTGGGGATGGATGAGCAGAAGCATCCTTCTTGGGCCATGGAAGCTGGGTATGCAAGGCAGGAAAGACTCCGCCAGGCTGTTCCAAAAGAATGTGCCTTGCTTGATTCTCTGGCTACCGACCATGGTTGTTGTTGTCTTCTCCTCCTCCTTCTGCGATTTATTTATTTTTTATGTCTACAGTGTTCTTCCTGCATGTATGTCTCCACTACAGGTCAGAAGAGGGCACCAGATCTCATTACAGATGGTTGTGAGCCACCTTGTGGTTGCTGGGGATTGAACTCAGGGCCTCTGGAATAGCAGCCAGTGCTCTTAACCTCAGAGCCACCCTGGAGTATGGCTCTTTCCCAGTGCAGAGCCTCTTACATTACAGCAGGGCCTCAGATACCCAGGTTCACTTGGGCTCTGCAGCACACTTGGCAAGGAACCAGGTCTGGGGTGACCTTATCCGAGAGTCACTGCTGTTGCCCAGACCTGCTCACAGGAAGTGGCTGAGCTGGGCCTGGGAGTCAGGATTGCCCATTCTCAAGCCTGTCCTCCAGCAGACACAGCTTCCTTGTGTCTAGATGTCTTTTCCAGGGACCTAGGAGGTCTGGGTTCCCATCCCTCCAGATGTCCACCATCTATTTTTAGTGATGGCTGTGTCACGCCTGTAATTTCCAGATGCCATGATAGTTCAGTGCAGGACTTGGCACGCATACATGGCTTTGTCCCTGCTCTTACTGAAACCCCCACCCACATGGCTTCTCACCACCTCTTTCTCCCATTTTGTGCGGTGCTCGATAGAGTGGGTGTGTGTGGAGCCAGTGTTTGCATCTGGAGGGTGGACTGTGTGCTTTCGGGTGTACATAGGTTCCCTGAAGTGTTACAGAGCAGGGCATAGCTAGGCAGTCCTGGCCAGGGTGTGGCCCACCCACCACTCCACCACCACTGTCTTGGCTCCAGTCTGGCCGGCAAGGTATCTGACAAACTGCAAACCTCAGGGACCCCCTCCTCATGTGGCTGGGCCAGGATTTTTTTTTTATTTTATTTATTTATTATGTATACAGTGTTCTGTCTGTGTGTATGCCTGCAGGCCAGAAGAGAGCACCAGACCCCATTACGGATGGTTGTGAGCCACCATGTGGTTGCTGGGAACTGAACTCAGGACCTTTGGAAGAGCAGGCAATGCTCTTAACCACTGAGCCATCTCTCCAGCCCTGGGCCAGGATTTTTGAGCATCACAGTTTCAGCAGGCTTTGTTTTAGTACTCTGTTAGCAGAAGTGAGAGACCCAAGTATCTCTTTTGGCAGGGATGTCTTTGTCCCTTCCAGTGCTGCCACATTGAGAAAATCTCCTTTAGAGTTGGGGAAAAGGCCTAGACACTACTGGCTAGAGTAGACACTGTCTGCTTTGGAATTGCCCACTGCCCCAGGGGAAATTCTTAGTCTTTTTTTTTTTCTTTCTTTCTTAAACCAGCTTAAGAGGCCACTTTTACTGTACCTGTTTGACCACACAGGTAAATCCTCTGTATTTTTTTTTTAAGTTATCAGAAGTCACAGTCGTGACTTCTTTTTTTTTAATATTTATTTATTTATTTATTTATTATGCATACAATATTCTGTCTGTGTGTATGTCTGCAGGCCAGAAGAAGGCACCAGACCTCATTACAGATGGTTGTGAGCCACCATGTGGTTGCCGGGAATTGAACTCAGGACCTTTGGAAGAGCAGGCAATGCTCTTAACCACTGAGCCATCTCTCCAGCCTCCAACCCTCTGTATTTTTAAAATCATTTATTTAATGATTGATTTATTGATTGGTTGATTGATTGTGTATAGACATACATGTGAAGGTTCAGGAATGACTTTTAGGAGCTCTTCTCACGTTTGCCCTGTGGGTCCTGGGAGTGGAATTCAGGGGGGGCAGCCTTGGCATTCGGTGCCTTTACTGTCTGCGTTTTCTCCGTGTTTCTCTCTCTCTCTCTCTCTCTCTCTCTCTCTCTCTCTCTCTCTTTTAAATATAGAGTCTTATTGCAGCCTAGATGGCCTTGCACCCACTGCCCTCCTGCCTCAGGTGGCTGACAGGAGGGCACCACCACACTTAGAGGTAAACTCAGTTTTATTATGGTTACAAACGAGTCCCAGGAAATAGGAGAGTGGTTACCAGGCTTGCTCTGGGCCATTGGAACACAGGGAGGGGGACTTCTTGCCGACTAGTGCCCCGAGACAGTGTTTTCAGTTGTGGCACACCCAGGCCTCAAAGCCAGCCACCTGTCTTATCAGGGCCTGCTGCCAGGCAATGGGCAGGGAGGGAGAGGCCTCTCGGAGCGCCAGATGATCGCCACACCCTCGTTGTTTGCTGAAGGAAAGCTGCACAGCTCTTGCATTCTGGAACCCTGTCTCCTTTGTCACCGCTTGAGAGTTACCCTCCTTTACCTGTCAGAACTTATGTATTGATTTAGTTTTAATCTTTTATAAAATTTGTTTTTAAGTGTTTGGGTGTTTTGCCTGCAAATATGTGCACGTTGTGTGTGCCCGGTGCCCACGGAGGTCAGAAGATGGTGTCCGGACAAGACACCATGTGTGTGCCTGGTGCCCACAGAGGTCAGAAGATGGTATCCAGATAAGACATCACGTGTGTGCCCAGTGCCCACGGAGGTCAGAAGATGGCGTCCGGACAAGACACCATGTGTGCCCGGTGCCCATGGAGGTCAGAAGATGGTGTCCAGACAAGACACCACGTGTGTGCCTGGTGCCCACAGAGGTCAGAAGATGGTGTCCGGACAAGACACCACGTGTGTGCCCGGTGCCCACGGAGGTCAGAAGATGGCGTCCAGACAAGAGTTACAGACAGTTGTGAGCTGTCTTGTGGGTGCTGGGAATCGAACCTGAATCCCTTGGAAAAGCAGCCAGTGCTCTTAACTACTGAGCCATCTCTCCAGCCCCTATTTTTTTTTTTTTTGTGATAGGGCCTCACTATGTAGTCCTGGCTGTCCTGGAACTCATGATATAGCTCAGGCTGTCTCAGAACCCCCAACTCACAGAGATCTGCCTGCCTCTGCCTCCTGAATGCTAGAATTACTTTCAAAATCACATTCAAACATTCACAGAGGGTGGGGTGGAGCTTAGAGGTGGAGGCTTGTCCAGCATGCACAAGGTCTTGGGTTCCATCCTGAGCACTAGAAACATCTTTTTCTACCTTAATCAAATGCAGGGCTATGGATGTATCTCAGTTGATAGAGTGCTTGCGTGACGCCCTGGGTTTGATCCCCAACACCACATAAACCAGGAATGGTGGCACAAGCCTTTTATCCCAGCACTCAGGGGCCAGTCTGGGCTATGGAGACCTTGTCTCAATGAATGAATGAAGAAATAAATATAAATACACTCCTTATTTACATGAGGAAACTTGCTAGAACGGAAGATAAACTTTCTTAAATATACCTAGCCTTGAACACTTGTAGGTCCTCCATCTGGAGAGTCAACCAACCCTGAAGGGAGAATATTCCAGGGAAAGGGCTATACCCATATCTCAGACATTCAGATCTCCTGCCTTGTCCTTATTACCTAAATAAAACAATCTAACGTTAGGTAGCATTACATGACATTAAAACTATGCCGCGATCACTCAAAGTATAAGGAAGAGCTCAATTGGGGTGGCCCAGGCTAGTAATTGTAGCTCTTGAGAGGCTGAGGCAAAAGGATTGTGAGTTCGATGCGAGCCTGGGCTATCTAGACAGACCTTGTCTCAAATCAAAACCCCCAAAAAAACCAACCAAAGAACCAAAACAAACTAAAAAGCAAAGCAAAATGGAAGTCAAGTGACGGGAGGGTATACTAGGTTCAGCGAAGAGCCCCAGAGATTTGATGTGGAGGCTGAGAAGCTGCATCAGTTTCCAGGACTCAGGGACAGCTGCGCCTGCTTCCCTGTAGGGCTCACAGTTAATGAAGGAAGGAAAAAAATGGTGGGATGGAGAAGACCTGTAGGCTCCGGCTCCTAGGTAAGGTGGAGGAGAGAGTTTAATGTAGACACATAGGAATGCATAGCCAGAGGCAGGAACATCTGGGAGAGGTCAGAGTGGAAATGACCCTGGGCCACGTGAGGAGAGGGAGAGGGCAGAACGGAGAGCAGCTGTGGCCAAGAGGGGCAGCCTGGGCCAAGAGACCGGCACAGAGAGTAGGTGAAAAGACCCGGTGTGGTTGTTTGAAAGAAGATGACCCCCTAACCTCATGGAGAGTGGTACTATGAGGGGGTGTGACCTTGTTGGAGGAAGTGTGCCATTGTGGGGGCTGGCTTTGTGGTCTCCTATGCTCAAGCCACACCCAGTGTTTCAGTTCTCTTTCTGCTGCCTTTGGATTAAGATGCAGAATCCTCAGCTCCTTGTCCAGCACCATGTCTGCCCGCACACGCCATACTCCCAGCCGCTATGTTCCCTACTATGATGACAATGGACTGAGCCTCTGAAATTGTTTTCCTTTATAAGAGTTGCCATGGTCATGGTGTCTCTTCAAGCAATAGGAATCCTAACCAAGACGCCAGGTAACCGAAATGTCTGGATTATATAGGGAAGGGCAGCTCAGCCCCTGGGCTGGAGAAGTTTAGGGTAGGGGCTGGAGGAGACCAGGAGGCCCATGCAGCAGGTGGGGACTGACTGAGGGATGTAGGAAGAATCTGGTGACCAGATCCACTTTGATATATTAAATAGGCACCTCCACCGCCATTGTTCCTTTTAAGACCTAACCCTTAGCAACCACTGCTGACCCTGAAAGGGAGCTCAGAGCCCCAGGGTCACCAGTGCCCTTCAGTTCACACTGGATTTTCATCGTTTGTAAGCTAATTTAAATAAAAAAGACTTTTGTGTATATCACGTAGGCATGTTCTACACAATTCAAGAGCCCTGCCCAGTTGCCTGGTTTCTCTTGCTAAGGGTCCGGTCCCTCGGGTCTGTGCTCGTGCACACTTTACCTGTGTTGACTTACCACAGAGGGCAGGGCACCAT